TCCAGTGAAATATATTTATGTTTGTGGTTGTAATGTGACAAAATATGGAAAAGTTCAAGGGGTATGAATACTTTTGCAAACCACTGTATATTAGCCAGTAGATAAGGTTATGTTAACAGAAGTGAAATGGTCTGAAATAGTCAGAAATATGTCTGTCAGTCAGAATAATCTAAATAAATAAATACACACTTGGTACAGTTTTGAAAAGCTTCAACATTTTCCAGGTTCAAAGCCAGGGAGGAATGCTTATGGGGCATAAATGCTTCTGTTGACCTCGTCTCGTCAACAGAGAGCTCTCCATGGTGCTGAATTATGTTCACTATCACTGGCCCTCAGCTCATTTCAGAAAATGCAACAGGGCTATTTAATTAACCGGAGTTAAAGCAGGTTTGACGCGCACTAATGTCTGAAGAGACACAAACAAACAGTCTGTGTGAGGTCTTTTTTTTCTCTCTGCAGTACTGAAAACACAGAGTCACTGTGGAACATACGTGTGCCATGTCGGCGTTTTTATTTCCTGTCTTTTGTTCCGTCTAACAGGCTTTAGAGGAAGGCAGGACTCGGTCTCTTACCCCCCTCCTGGCCGGAGCACTCGCTTCTCTCACTGGGGATCCATGTGTCGTCGAACCGGTTGATCTCCACAGCTGCCGTACAGCTCAGCTGAAGCTGCCGAGGGAAGCCACTGCGCATGCGCGTAAGATGAAAGGATGCGAGGGTGGGGGGCGCAAAAATAAGGAAATCCATAAATGGGCTATTATCACATGCTGTTTGTCAAGCTCTATAAAATAAAGAACATGTGCACAAAGAGATGTGTTTTTATAAATCAAATGACGCCCCCTCCCCCCAAAAAATAAATAAAAGTGGGGTTTTTTTTTTGTATGTTTGATTTATGGAGTAGAGTCAGTGGTTTTAATGGTCATGGGAACAATTTAATGGAGCCATTTCTATCAGTGTTAATCTCTCAGCCCTTGTTCTAGACCTTATTTTGGGTTTCAAATTGAACACCTGGTCTGTTCTAAAGTCATGCAATAATACCACTGCACTAACCTATCAGCTGTACAAGCACTGTCTCTGTTTGGGGGTCACATCACTGAATGATCAAATACACTGGCACTTCTAGAGATTTTTGAATGGGGTGGCCATGTGTAAAACCATCATGGCACACAAAAACCAGAAGCCATTAAATAATTTCAGAAATTTTATGATGCTGTCATTGCAAAATGGTGATTTATAAACTTTTGCAAAATGAGACCTAAGAAATGGCCTCACTTTCTTGTTTTACATAATATTACTGATATAATGTGCAGAGAACAGAAAAGATAATATCTGGAGTTCCACTATTGTGCAGTTTTAACATGTTCTGTATATTTACATTAAACATGCATTTATTGCCTTAAATTGTTCTTACATTAGGATTTTTGTATTTTCCCTAAAAATGTCAAATACATATTTTTATTTAAAAGTGTATAGTGTAAGCAAATCACAGTCACTACTCAACTTGATCAAACTCAATCTGTTCTAAATTTCTGTTAAAAATAATATATTTATTACTTTATGAGACCCTTCATCCTAATGATGGGGATAATAGTTTTACACTAATTGTCTTTATTTAGTGGAATAGATTTTAGTGTTTTATTGTAAATACATTGCAAGTTTTTAAAACAATGTTGTTTTTTTATCAGTGGTTCCCAAACTTTTTTGACTTTTGGACAGTGTGCACAGCTGAAGGAACTGTCCAAGGTCATAAAAGTGTTGTTTCAGGACTTTAGACCAGTGTTTCCCAACCTTTTCAGACTTGTGTACCCCCTGAGCCATTTTGTCATACGACTAGCATCCCTTCAGTCAAACGTAACGTTGATTCTCCAAAACTATAATGTACTACAACTGATTATTCCATGTACCCCCTGTAATATGCTTGCATACCCCAATGGGTACACGTACCCCTGGTTGGGAATCATTGTTTTAGGTACATGGGGTTCTACTAATCCTCAATAGCTAAATAAAATTTTAAAAATGCACCACAAGTGGAAGCGCGGGGCTCAAAAGTACAAACATGTTTGGCTAAGGGGGGCTAGTGGGGGTGTAGGACCAATTTAAGTGGTGGTGCCCCAGCTCTGATGACCATTGGCACCACTGAGGTCTTGAATCTCCACAGCTTCTCTCTTTCCTTTATTCAGCTTTTGGTATTTCTCTTCTTATGTTCATTTATTTTTGGGCTATGGCTTCCTTCCTCTGTAGTTTTTGACCACCACAATGTTTAATTAGGTTTATCTAATTAGATTCACAAAGAGGGGGAAATATATGTAACTCTGAACATCAGCAAACTGATTATTTTTTGTATTGTGAATTACTCTCCTTTTTAAGTATATTTCTAATAACTTCACTATGCCTGAGTAATATTTTGACATTTCTATTAGAAAAAAAAACATCTTCACATTCAGTCAACGAGTCTGCAATTATGAGTGAACAGCCTTGGGCTGTATGAATAAGACTCCAGGGAGTGTTTTTAACAGACACACATTCTCCTTCAATTCTGTTATCACCAGGTCTGAATGAAATTTGGAAAAAGTCCAGAGATTATTTTGTACTCTCTGGTTTTTGTTAAAAGTGTAATTTAGGAAGTAAACAAGAAAGTAAACGAGAGATAGTATCTTATTTTGTAAGAATATTATGAATCTATTGGGCTCAAATATGTTTTAAAAGCTAAAATCATTTTAGCACTAGGGAACAATATTCTGCTTTTGTTTATATTTTCATTTGTTTGTTTATTTATTTGTTTATTTATTTATTCATTTGTTTGTTTATTTGCGGGGAGGGATGCAGACACACTCTAGATTTGTGAGTTCAATCCCACCAGATTAAATGTAAAAAAAATCCCGCAATTACAGTTTCACCATGTTAATGAAAGTACCACGTGCGTTTTCTTAACAACTTTTTTAAAAGCAGTTTTTTGCGCAACACTGTGAATTGAAAACACACAATTCTTTTATTAGGAAAAAAGATAAAGTTTCCTTTTAAAAACTTTGTTGTATTAAAAGCTTATTTAATTTTGCTTTCTGTTTTAGTGATACATGAAAATATATTAATTACATTAAACTGTAAAATACTGTACTTGATACAAAATAATTTAATTTTATTAAACATATCCAGTACTTATTTTCATTGTTCACACCAAAATTGCAGCTTATACAAGCATTTTTTTGAATTTTCAGTTTTATTACATTTAGGTAATGTGGCCCTCTGGTAGTGTCAACAATAAATTGTGGGGCCTTCTATCTTTTAAGTTGCCCATCTCTGGCTTAAGTGATTATTTTAGGAAAAACTTGTAAATTCTTTTGCCAAATGAAAGCCTTTTATGCTTCAGTAGTTACATGTTTTGCTGTATTTGCTTTTCATGCTCATTGACAATATTTGCATAATGCAAAATTGACAGTCATGTAAAGGTTTAAAAAATGTGTTTGAAACTGCCATGAGATTTTGAAGACCAGACATTTTTAAGCTGTTTTGACCAGTTGTTAGCTCATCAGTCCGATTTCTCTCAGGCAGAAGCTGCTCAAAAAGTTATCTTCAACAGGTAAGACATTTTCATTTATAACTATTACACAAGAACACAGTTCAAAAAGACATAACTATTCTTTTAAATATCTTGAGAGTAGTGTGTCCTTCAATTAAATACTGCATTCAACCAGCTGTCAAGAGCTGATAAAACATCAGAGAATGCAAATTTTGAGGCTTTGCCGTCTCTGTGAAAGGTAGCTGTCTCCAAATGCTGCCACACTTCAAGGTACGCTTCGTAGCTGAAATGTTGCTAAATAAAACAACCTTTTACTCTCTGCTTCACAGGAAAACACACACACTCAATCACAACCGTAGATGAATATACACTAATACGAGTTGTGCAAATACTTCTCTGTTTCCAGAAGATGCATTGTTTATGCAGTCTGTCGCAACAAATCCAAAAAGAAAAATTAACCAAACCCCCCCCCATATCTTATACATATTTATCCTATCAGCTCATGAAAATAACTTTTGCTGCAAGGTAAGAAAAGTCTGCGGAGGGCTTTTGTGTGTTTGGTGCGGCTGAGCTTTTTCATCCCTGCATATTTGTTATTTAGACACAGTATGAGAAGTCATAAAGGGCAGGATGAGACTATATTCCAGGGTGCCCTGGTGAGAGAAAGACACGAAAAACTGGTTGTGTGTGGCATTCATCTCCACACACACAAACATAAAGGTCTCTGTTTAACGAAGCCGGGCTCCACGGCGGAGAGGAAAAATTTCCATGGTTACGAGTCCAGCAAGGTCAGGCACATGAAGTGAGTGCTAGGTGTTGATTGGTTCATAGATAATTACACTTTCCTTTAAGATGATGTGGAAACCTGATCCCCCCCTCCCCCACTCCTCAATTTAAAAGCTGCTGTAAAGCATTATCAGTGATTTCAGCTGCAGGCCCTGCTGCCCTTATTACTTCCTTTATTCACTGGCTTTGGAGGGTTATTCTTCAGTGTGATAAATTATGCATTTGCTTGTCTTGTATCTTAAAAATAACCAGAGCATCAAGCAAAAGCGGCCCGTAAAACCACTGCCAATTTCACGAAATATCCAAGCCATCACGTTAAGTTGCTATGAAAAGCCTTCCATTTATTGGCTTGTCAGACAGAAATGGCAAAAAAAAAAAATCCCTGTCTTTATGTTTGATGACTTAGGCAGTGAATTCTGTGTTTTCTTCTCTCCATCTGGATAATCCTTTTGGAGGTGGTCATGATGGTGGCGTTGGTTCCAGAATGAATTGGAAGACACTTTTGACAGATTGGCATACTGACATTTACACGCAGACATTTCTCCTTCACCCCTCTCAACCTGTTTATATACTCATTTCGAAGCACTTTGTTTGAATGCATCCAGCTGATCATAATAAACCCTCATTCCATTTCTTGTGGAAACTTAGATGAGAGTGAACCTGTAGAGCAGCTTCACACCAGGCAAGTTATTGCCTGATCTGAAGGAAATATGTGAGTGTGTAAATGATTAACACCACCTAATGTCTGCAATTTGGACTGAAGCATGGATCACCTTACCAGAGACTGGGCACATGCTGAGAGAGAATCGGGTTTCTGTTTCAAGCTCAGCAGAACCGGATAAACCAAGGGATGCCTTGTTATTCATGTTGCAGACCTATCATGAAGGCAGCACAACACAGCAACTCACCTTTGGGCAAATGTCAGATACAATGTAAAACTTGTCACTGAATGTACTTCTCAGTGATTCAGGTACAAAAAAAATCAATGAAGAAGAGCCTGTCCAGAGAACCTGACTCAACCTTGTTAGAGCTAAGAAATAATTTTTTAGTGAACTCTTATTAATGGAGCTTTGGTTAGTTCATTGCACAACACCCCACACCTTTTTGAGTGAAAACAATCCCTCCACTTTGACCAGTTGGATTTGTGACAAACAGTCATAAATATGTATTTATCATATTGGACAAAAAAAAAACTAAATCCAGTGACCTGATGAGCCACATCCAGATTCATAGTGGATCATTTGGGAAATGTATTTCTCATCTTTGTCATGTTCTTCTTTAGGCACCTTTAGTTTGAAATTAGAACTTTCCATCATGAGTTAAAAATAAATAAATACATAAATCTGGGTTTACAACAGGCTAGCTAGCATAATTTCATGGTGGGTTGCCC